GAGGAGAGAGAAAGATGATGAACAGAAATGATTTTTATTTTTTTTCTTTACTTTTTTTTTTTTTTTTTTGTCAGAAAATGAAAGGGAAAGCTGAAAATTGTGATCTGGGTTTTTGGGTTGGATCGTGTTCGAGATAGATTGGTAAGGCGGCAATCCAAATTGTACGTCAGTTGACTTTATTTTAATTGCCTTGTATTAAGCCACAATGGTCTTAACTCTCAAATCGTAAAGATGGCACTAGGCTGGATCCGGCCATGGCACGAAATAGTATGATGTTGTATTGCTTGTGCAAGCTAAATCATGAGTTGGTGTTGGCCAATTTTTTTTAAGAGAAGCTAGCATTGTGGTCTGGGTTTTTGGGTTGGATCGTGTTCGAGATAGATTGGTAAGCGGCAATCCAAATTGTACGTCAGTTGACTTTATTTTAATTGCCTTGTATTAAGCCACAATGGTCTTAACTCTCAAATCGTAAAGATGGCACTAGGCTGGATCCGGCCATGGCACGAAATAGTATGATGTTGTATTGCTTGTGCAAGCTAAATCATGAGTTGGTGTTGGGCCAATTTTTTTTAAGAGAAGCCTAGCATGGCACAACGTATAGCTTGGGTCGTTTTTGGGCTTGTTGAAAATTTGCCATCTTTACTCTTGAACAACCAAATTGATCATATGATTTTTGTTAGAATCGTTTTAATATGCATTTTAAATACATAGTATATTAGTTTTTTACAGTGTAATTGGAGATCGTATACAGACAAAAGGTATAACTATTTACTCATAGTAAAGGAAGAAGTACGTCTGTATACGTTAATGTTACTACGTATTAGTATAGTTACCTTGCAAAGGAGTGGAAATATAATTGATCCAGACTTATTTTGAAGTATGACCACATAGTTTATTGGGCTTCAAAGTGGTAATCCAACACGATCCAACCCTCTTGTTACTATGGACCTATGGCTAGCAACAAAATAAATCGCTCCCATGTAAATAATTAACTGATGAAGATTGTAAGAAACTGGTTTCACACGTCATGGACAATAGATTTGGATTAATTAAGGGTGAACTAATAGACACAAGTTTGTAAAAAAATAATGTATTTACGTGTGATTAACTAGTTTAATTATAAAAAGGATGGTAGTGAGAAAACTATAAAGAAGTTGTGTTTGTATGAATTAGGTTGTTTGCTTTAAATTTGGTAGTTAAGAGATGATCGGTAAATAAACCCTTAATCAAGAGGTATGACTTCATTGTTTATTGAAGACGTACCCTTATTTTTAATCTAACCCAACCCACTAGAATCATTTCTTTTTATTGTTGAAATCTGAACAATTTGGGTTTAAGAAAATGTTAAACATTTAAATTCAAAAAAATAATGTATGAAGGTAGTGAATTATAATAGATGAAATTTGATCATCTAAGCTATATAGTACTCGTTATAACGAAGTATGAACGCGGTTACACAGTAATCAAATTGAAGCGGATAAAACTTGATCAACTAAGGTCTTGTTTAGTTTAATTTATTTTTACTTATTTCAAAAAAAAAAAAATCAGATTAGATCAGATCAGAAAAAATAAGTTCAAATCAAAACATTGTTTTATGTGCGGTTTTTTATCGCTAAATATTCTTAATTTCGTAATGAAAAAAATTGTGAAAATTACATATTAATAAACTACACATTATTACGAATATAACAAGATCCCACTTGATATATTTTTTCCTTATAAATTATCGTACACTTAAAGTCAAAGTTTAATCAAATCAGACAATCAAATCAGACCACATCAGATCAAATCAGACCAGACCAGATCAGATCAGTAAAAATAAGGTAAACCAAACAACGCCTAAGCTATCTATCATCCATGCACCGAGGTACACATTGGATTACAAATATTTAACTCACTATTCGTCAAATAAATCATGCATGTTAGTCTTTGCATGCTTTAACTTCATCACCCAACTCTTATCCTATGTATCACCCGTCAATCTAGCAACTTAATCATTAAACAATAGCTTTATAATTAAAGAGAAGCATGGCGGAAAGTTTGGCGTATCTATTTGTTAAATAATGCACTTATGCACGTCACAATTTGATTTAAGGATTTTAAGACATCTCAGAATTTTACAGTTGAGAATATAATCAGTTAAATAATATGAAAATAGTTTGGAATTGAAGACTTAATATTTTATAGTAAGGCGTAGGGTATAGAACAATTAGAATATTAAGATTTGTTTTACAAGATTATGGTAGGGAGATGCTTAAATGTCAATTAGTAGGCAGACCGACTTCGAGATCCATCTTAAGCTACAATTTTAGTCAAGAAATTTTAATTATCTTTTATTAATGCCATGCTTGGTTCTAGTAGGATAAAGCTGTCTCAAAATTACATACAACAACTATGGAGAAAAATATTGATCAATCAATAATCAAAGTTAAATCAGTAGAAGTTTAATTCTTTATTTTGTAAGTTTGTAACCATCCTGGTTGACTCCAATAAATTAATGAATTACTTAAGCACGATTTTTGGGAGTCAAACAAATTAGGGATTCAAGGTAACTAATAAGATGATACTCGAGCACAACTCCAACTCTCAAATACGCAAACCTTGTCTAGCTTATTTGACGACTTTTTTCTCTGAGAGATAATGATTGAAAAATCTTCATCCTATTAAAAGGTTTTTTTGTTTGTTTTTGACGTTTAGAGATTCACTAATCACTAGCCAATATACTTCATGTATGGCTGTATTTTAGTTGTTCATCCTTATCGACTTTTGTTACTATTCACCTACGTAAATTCAAAATAATGACCATTAGTTATTAGTTACATATAAGGAAAAATATATTCGTGTTCGATCTTGTTAGATTCATTATAAAATATAATAATTTATATAATTTGTATTTATTAATTGATAATTAGATATTAAGGGTCAAAATTATACATTGACAAATATACAAAACAAAAATGAAAGAATAAAAATACCAAGGGAATATTGAAGTAGACAACATTGCTTTTCAAGCAGTTTGTCTGATGTTATTATGTTAATACTCATATTGTGTTAGTCATGTGTCAATATGTCATCAAATGGAATATTCTTTTGGCGCTATATATACGAAATTACGAAGTATATATATCCATATTTGGGGTAGCTATCATTCACCAGTTTCCCCTCTAAACAAGGTTGTTAAATAATAATAACAATAATGGGTTATTTCATGGAGAACTTAGTAAACGATGTAGTCATTGTTATAATACCAATTTAAATATTAGAATGTTTTGATTTTACGATTCATGTACATCATATGATTCGATTTACGATTCTATATGATTTTACGTATTTCTCTTAACTAGCGAATCCTTACAAGTTTAAGACATGCATATATAGTTATTTATAAATATTATATTTATTGTCAATTATTGGTTGTATGATGGGTAATAACCATTTTCTATTAATAATTAAGTTTCAAACTCATAATTTAAATATATTTAATTAAATTTAGATATAACGTCTTGATTATACATGTCGGAATCTTACGATTCTACGTTTCGATTTTACGATTCAATTCCGAGAGCCCCTCCGATTCAAAGTAGAATCCCAGTTTTAATAACTTTGGTTGTAACTCTTAAGTCTTAAGTCTAAACACAACTAAAATTGGGTATATTAATACATTAGATTTTGCTAAGGGACATAACAAAGTATATCGAAACATTAGATTTTGCTAATTGAAACCATATATATATGAAGTATATTGAAACATCTGATTTGCTGATTGAGATGATCCAAGCTAAGCAAGATTACATGATGCAATACTTACGGAGTATAATAATATTAAGAATATACATATATGATGCAAAACTTGACTCACTTATAAAGTTCTTATTCATATTTTTTTTAGGTTTGAGCTTCAAATCTTATCAAGGTGATTGGGTGTAGTATTGTAGATTTGTAGTGATTCTATTACCCTCCCCCTATACAGCTATACGGATTACCTTTAACTGTTTGATCCGTAAATACTCGATCAAAAAGACCGTGAGGATTAAGGAAAAAAAAAAGTTTAGAAGAAGACCAGGAAGACTTTACAATTAGTAGGTTACTATGGAGTTACCTTTATAATCGATTATATATATGATTGAAAATTAATCCCAATCAATATCAATGAGAAAATAAAATCTCACTTAAAAGCAGTATTCTTTAATACTACGTCTAAATTATCGTTTTCAGATTATTCTAAAATGACTCACCGAAATTGAGATTATTTAACACAGATTTAATCCCCCTATGAAAGAAATAATATTGGAGCATTCTCCTTTATTTAGACAAAAGAACAATTTAAAGATCCACACTTTAATTAGTACTATTAATATTTCTGTAATTAGAAAATAGTCTCCAAATCTCCAACACGCAGTTATGTCGCCAAAAGAAGAGTAACTTCATGTGCAAACGGTCATTATTTTATTTAAATCTGGAAAATCCACCAATGGATAACGAAGATTATGCTCTCGAATTAATTTGTCAGGTCAATTACTCCGTATTAATTATCTTATCCCTTTCAATTTTTAAATTAATTTCCACTGAAAACCATTGTCTAGTACTCTAGCTAGTGTATTGTAATGATTTGATATAGCGTGATCATTACTGTTCCTTTTTCTTTTCTAAAGAAAAGATCGAGCATTATATTAATTAAATGAAAATGTCCATTTCCGCCAAGGTTACAATACTATGAGGAAAGGAACTAAAACGTACAAACTCATCATTCCCCTCCCCCCCCCCCTCTTATCCTCCCTAGCAATTAGGTGAGCTACCGTATTACAATTTCTCTTGGCATGTGAAAAAAGACAAACATTGAACCACGCTCTATCCAATCTAATATCATCATAAACGACATGAATTGGGACACGACCATCAATTTCAGAGGATGTGGCTTTAATGACATTCACCACATCCGATTCAACCTACAAATTCCTATAATCAAACCGCTTGGCAAGTTGAAGTGCATATCTTACGGCCTATGCTTCAACACACTCTGGGGTAGAGGCCTCCATTTTCTTCATGGTTGTCAACACAAAACGACCATCGGCATCTCTGAATACAATCCACAACCCCGTATTTCCCACCGCAGGTACATGCACATCAACATTGGCTTTGATGCATCCTTGCGGGGGGCACTTCTGCACCACGCTACTAGTCGTAGCTGTTGGAACAATAGGGAAAAATACCTTCTTCGCATATTATGTATAATCCTCAACTAACCTGCAAAAACCAGCCACAAGCATATCACAACATCAGGGTGCTCATTTTCGAAGACAATCAAGTTCCTGCAACGCCACGCTGCCCACATTAGAGCAGCCATACGCCTCAATATACTTCCCTCCACCTTACCATATAGCCACTTCCATCTAGCAATGAAGGATTCGGTAGGAGAATCAATTAAGTGTTCAGAAAGCTCGCTATGCTCCCAGATTTCTTTAGCTGCAGAACATTCGAACAAGGAGTGAATTATCGTTTCTCTCGCCCCACCGCAAATATGACAAGTAGCGTCATTAGTGACATGTCGCTGCACAAGTCGATCCTTCACAGCGAGGTTCCCCTTAACAGCACCCCATAAAAAGTGCTTGAGTTTGGGAGGCCCTTGTGTGTTCCACACCAATCTCCAGTAGTCCTCATTACTTCCCACATCACCCACCACAGCCATTACATCTCTTGCAAGCCAATAGCATGATTTCACAGTAAATATGCCATTCTTTGTGCAGCTCGAATAAATATTGGGTAATTCTCTGTTTCTCATTGTGAGAAACAAGTTTTGTTTCTCATGGGGTATGTGTCAAGATGTGGGGCTCCCACTCATGACACATACGCGGTCTCCACCAGTGAAAAACATCATATTATTTTCCAAAATGCCATTATGAGAAACAAAAGTGTTTCTCATAATGAGGAACTGGGGCTCTCTCAATAAATATTGTCTCTAGCAGGGTGGCTCGGCAAAGGGTTAGTAAGAATAAGAGCATCAGTTTCATTGTCAAACAAATCATGGATTTTTACAGCATCCCACCTTACACACCCCTCAACCATTAGCTCATTTACCATCGCGTTCTCCTCCCTGCCATTCGGTTGCTGCAAAAAGAATTGCTTGCCATCCTTTACCAGCCATGCATCCTTCCAAGCTCTAATGTCACGCCCATCACCCACTCTCCACACCAAGCCATCACGAAGCAATCCTTTGGCGCCCCAAATACTCCTCCAAGTGAAACTTGGCTCGTGACCTCTATTAGCTTCCAACACACTTGAGTTCTTAAAATAACGAGCCTTGAGAATTTTCGAAATCAATGTATTCGAATTAGATTGTAGCCTCCATATTTATTTTGCTAAGAGTGCTTGGTTAAATCACTTGAGATCACGAAACCCCATTCTACCTTTTGCCTTCGGTAGACACAAATTTTCCCAACTTTGCTAGTGCATTTTTCTATGATTTACAGAGCCCCACCAGAATCGACATAGGAGACCGTAAATTTCATCAATAAGACCGTTCGGCACCTTGAAAATACTCATCATGTAAGTTGGGATTGCTTGAGCCACAACTTTGATTAGCACCTCCTTCCTCGGTTTTGAAAGCAACTTCTCCTTCCACCCATTCAATTTTTTCCAAATTCTCTCCTTCAAACACGCAAAAATAGCCTTCTTCGATTTGCCGATGATCGTCGGAAGCCCCAAGTATTTTTCATGTTTATCCACCTCTCGAACCCCCAAAGTGTCAACAATAGCTTGCCTTCTCTCTGCAGTCACACACTTGCTAAAAGCGACCTCTGTCTTATCTAGATTGACTTTTTGACCAGATACTCTTTCATATGAACTTATGATCTCACCTATTTTTTAACATTCCTGCAGAGTAGCTTTTGCAAAGAAAATACTATCATCAGCGAAAAACAAATGAGACACCCTAGGAGCAGAGTCGCAAATTTTTGCCCCACTTAATTTCTTTTCATGATCAGCTTTTGATAATAAACTCGAAAAAGCATCCGCACATAAAATAAATAAATAAGGTGAAATTGGGTCACCTTGCCGGAGGCCCCGAGATGGAACAACCGAACCACATATTTCATCATTCACCTTGAAAGAGAAAGAGACACTCGAAACGCAATCCATTATTCTACGCACCCAATTATCAGAGAAACCCATCTTGCACATCACCCTCTTCAAAAAAACACCATTCAACTCTATCGTATGCTTTGCTCATATCGAACTTCAATGCCACAGTACCACGCCTTCCTTCTCCCCCTCTTTTCACAGAATGAAAGATATCAAAGGCAATCATAGCATTATCAGTGATCAAATGGCCCGGAATAGAGGCACTTTGATTTACAGAAATAATATCATTAAGGAACATCTTCAATTTATTTGCCATAGTTTTTGATATTATTTTGTAAATCACATTGCAACAACTAATCGGTCTAAACTCAGTCATAAATTTAGGATCGTTACATTTGGGGATTAACACAATGCACGTCCTATTTATCTCTGCAATATCAACCAAGCCATTCCACCAATTCTTGACTAGAGCAACAATATCAACGCCAAGTATATGCCAAAATTTTTGGAAGAATAAAGCATGCATACCATCCGTACCTGGCGGCTTATTTGGGTGCATTTGAAAGAGCGTTTTTAATATCATCCGCACTAGGTTCCTCGTCCAACACATTGTTCATTTCTGCCGAAACAAGATGCTTCACGCCATCAAGGGCTGCCTCAAATTCGGAGGGGTTACTCGTTGAAAACAGTGAACTAAAACAATCAGCAACAATGGTCTGTATACGGCGTTCCACCACCTGCCATTTCCCATGTGAGTCAAAGAGTCCAGCAATACGATTCTTCTTACGCCTTTCACTTGCCTTCCGATGAAAATAAGCCGTATTTTTATCCCCATCATGCATCTCATTAGCCCAGGATCTAGCATACTGTAGACACCTGATTGTGTCTCCCCAAAAACCAAACCCAGTGATGAGTACCTTTCACGTCTTTGATTATCGAGTTAGGTGAAGAGTTGAAGAGTCTCGTGAAGTTCCCTTTAGTCTTGACCATTTCTAACCTTTCTTTAAATATTTTAAGCAAAAATCATTCATTTCGTGTCATTTTTATAAAAACGTCCAAACCAGTTTATTTTGGTCCATAATTTAGGTCCAATAATTGTGAAGTTGGATGGGGTTTGAAAAGAGTTTTCCAACAATATATTATAATCCCAATCCAAGTTATAACGAGGAAATTATGGCCAAAATACTAAACTGGGTCCAAACCGAGCCTAATTTGCGGACCCAATGATCATGTGGAGGGTCCTTTTATCTTAACTCTATTTCCAAAACCATTAGGATTTACCATAAGCTTCTAGAATTATCTAGAAGGTTGTTTTGAGTCCTAAATCCATTAGGATTGATTATTAGCTTCTAGAATCTTCTAGAAGGTTCTAATTTATCCTCTTTTTGAAAAGATAAAGACTAAGAATTTTACTTCGGATAAAACATGTGTTTTTAATAGATAAAATAAGGATAAGTACAGATATTCGACTAACCTAATTTGATTGAAACTCGGATTCCGTACGGATCTTATCTTCTGAAAAGCATCACGCAGCGATGGAATCATCGCACAGCGATGCAAATATCACGCAGCAATATAAGCCAAATATCACGCAGCAATATAAGCATCGCGTCGCGATGAAACCATCGCCACGCGATGAAAAGTGTTTTACTCCGAGTCGGATTATGACTCTTTTTCTGATCTTTTCCATCGTTTTTCCCTATAAATACAATCGTTTTCCTTTGTTTTCATTCACCAACAATCATCATCTAATCTCCCTCTATAAGCTATAAGTTTCTCTCTCTTTCTTAGCCCTAGCCTAAACATATCACACACCATACGACCTTTGCGAGACTTGAATACTCCAAGCCCTTCTCGTAGTTGCCTTCGACCTCGACGTGAAAGGTTGATAGTTCTGAGCGTTTGGTTCCTAATCTATATTTCAATTCTTATTTGATTTGTTTATTTGGTTTATACACTAGGCGAAAAATGGAAATGAGCACCGGTTCAAAACCCCCCTTTAGCACCAGTTTTGAACCGGTCTAGATTTGAGGGATGCTAAAAAAAAATTAGCACCGGTGCGAAAACTAAGAATTAGCACCGCTTAATCGGTGCGAATTCTTTGTTTTGGTACCGGTTAACCGATGCTAAAAGTATATAAGGCGCGCTTTTTTTTTTTGTATTAAATGCAATTGGCACCGGTTAACCGGTGCCATTACATGTATTTTTTTTTTTGTTTTTTTTGCAATAATAATAATATTAATACTAATAGTAATAATAAAAACCCTGTACATCCTTCATTAATTCTATCATTATTATAATATTAAAAATAATAATAATAATAATTTCTAAATTGAAATAATAACAACAATACATAGATATTAATAATTCCAAATGCAATACAATGAAGTGTCATATTTACAAAGAATACTGATTAATAATGTAGTTAAAAAGTTAACGAAATCTAAATTCAAATAAAAGTGACATTTACAAATTAAAGGTGATGAAAGACGCCAACATGTCTCGAACTTCATTATGTTTCTTGCTTGTCAACGGACCTTCCCTTTGTACCTTGCAAAACTTGGAATGACAAAAATTATGTTAGAATTAATTATTTAGGTTATGCATGTATAAACACATTTTTAAAAAATTAAATACCAAACTTGATTTATTATAAGTGGCTCAAATATATAGAATGTTTCTATTATTTGTAAGTATAAACAAGCAAGTAATAGGCAAATTCATACATTTACAAGTTCACTTAGGCAAAATTTTATTACTTAGGCCTATATGACTACTACTTTGCCTATTTTCTACATTTCTTATCAAATGAACTCATTCTTTCTCATAACATGACAACATTACTTAGTTATAGGCGTCTAAGACTTGAAATCACATGAAAAGAGCAATTTACTAGGTTTTAGGACGCATTTTCATCCAAAATAGCCCAAATAAGGCCTATATGAGTACCACTTTGCCTATTTTCTACATTTCTTATCAAATGAACTCATTCTTTCTCATAACATGTCAGTGACACTCTCATCCAATCGACCCATCACTCGATCACGAAACCAACTCATAAACCTCTTATTATGCAACTGCATCAATGCCCTTTGACCTTTCGATGGAAATTCATCACGCAAACTAGCCATGTACTCGTCTAAATATGGGTGAACATCTGCAACATGGTGCAACACATATAGGTGTGCTTGTAAGAACTTATCTCAGTCAGGTGACTTTCCTTTCGACCCGATTGTGCCATGACCATCAAGTCTCCCTTCATGTCGACAAGTAGGAAGACCAATAGGTTCAGTAACGGCTATATAGTCGGCCACAAAATTACCAATCTCCTCACTCACGGTCCCTTGAATCATACTTCCTTCTGGGTGAGCCCGATGCCTTACTTTATTTTGCAATGTAACCATGTGTATTTCAAAAGGATAGCACCACCTCATGAACACTAGACCGCACAACTTAATCTCACGCACCAAATGAAGAATCAGATGCACCATTATGTCAAAAAATGAGGGTGGGAAGTACATCTCAAATTTGCACAAAGTCACAACCACATTTGTCTGCAAAGCATCAAGTGTACAAGGATCAAGCACTTTACTGCATATTGTATTGAAAAACGAACAAAGGCTTGTAACAGCTTCCCTCACGTGCTTCGGTAAAATACCACGTATTGCAATTGGTAGGAATTCTTGCATCATAACGTGACAA